TAGTTGTGTGCAGAGGTGAGATGTGTTTACCTACAGCTCCATCTTGCCCCAGAAGTTCCAAAATCAGTAATTTTCTTTTAAATTAAAAAAAAAATCCTTATAGCCCTGGCTGATATGGCTCAGTGAATTGAGCACGGGCCTGTGGAGCAGGGGGTCACCGGTTCGATTCCTGATCAGGGCACATGCCTGGGTTGTGGGCCAGGTCCCCAGGGAGGGACACATGGGAGGCAACCACACACTGATGTTTCCCTCCCACTCTTTCTCCTTCCCTTCCCCTCTCTCTAAAAATAAATAAATAAAATATTTATTAAAAAAAGAACTTAAAAAAAATCCTTATATACAAGTATAGGCACCTGTGTTTTTAAAAGAGCCGCTAGGGTGCAAAAAGGTAGGTAATTATTATTTTTTTGTAAGTCGATCAAAACTATACCTATTTTTCATCAGCTAGGCAAAAATATACATTTTTTATTGTGCCACAGAATTTTAGTAACAGGTTTATGTAGGCAATGAGATGAAAAGGTTGTAAGTCGCTGCTCTGGAGCAACTGCGACCTTGCTCCCCAGCATGTTTGTCAAAAAAAAAAAAAAAACCTCATAAAAATTCTCTACAGATTTGGGAATTTCTACGTCAACAAGTCATCATCACTCCTCCATCTGTTTTCCTCCTTTTGAAACACCTACTGTCCTAATTTCAGGTATCCTGGATTGTCCTCCATGTCTTTTTTATTTTCCCTCTTGGCTTCTTAAAAATCACCTTTTGTTCTATTTCAGGATATCTCTTCCGGCAAAGATGGAGGCATAGATAGATACACTTTGCCTCTTTACACAACCAAAAGAAGGACAATAACAAATTTAAAAACAAAAAATAACCAGAACTGACAGAAAATCGAACTGTATAGAAGTCTAACAACCAAGGAGTTAAAGAAGAAATATTCATTCAGACCAGTAATAGGGGTGAAGACAGGCAGGAGGGGTGGAGAGGACTTGTGGCAAGGCAGTGGCTGGAGGACCACATTTGCGTGTGGATAAACCAGGAGAGACAACTGTGGAGTGAGAGAGACCATGCTACCCAAGGTTCCAGCGCAGGGAAAAAAGCCTCAAAAACCTCTGGCTGTAAAAAACTGTGGGGTTTGTGGTGGAGAGAGAAACTTCAAGCCTCATAGGAGAGTTCATTGGAGAGACCCACAGGGTCCTAGAACACACACAAACTCACCCCCAGCTGGGAATCAGCACCAGAAGGGCCCAATTTGATTGCCAGTAGCAGGGAAAGTGACTGAAAGTCGGCAGAGAGCCAAGCAAGTGGCTCATCATCACCAAGTCCTTATTATATGAAATGTTAAAGGGACTTATCTAAGAAAAAGAAGATGGTAAAAAATATGAACAGTATAATGACAACAAACTCACAACCATGAACAACTAAACCTAAAACAAAAACAAACTAAGCAAACAAGTAGAACAGGAACAGAATCACAGAAATGGAGATCACATGGAGGGTAATCTGCAAGGAGAGGAGGGGTAGAGTGGGAGAAAGGTACAGGGAATAAGAAGTTTAAATAGTAGGTACAAAATAGACCAGGGGAGGATAAGAATAGTATAGGAAATGGAGAAGCCAAAGAACTTATATGTACCACCCACAGACATTAGCTAAGGTGGGGACGGGGGGAATGCTTGTGGGAAGGCGGGTACAGGGCAAAGGGGTATAAAGGGAAGGAAAAAATGGGACAACTACAACAGCATAATAAATAAAATATACTTAAAAAAAGATATCTCTTCCATTTGATCATACATGCTACTGACACTGGTCTCAACAAAAACTATACTGTCCTTCAATCCATCTACTGAATCAGGTTCAAGGTGGGTTTGGAGAAGGCCAAGAGATGGAACTACAGGTCAGATCCATTTGAAGGAAGTAACATTTGTAAGACCAGTAGGATTTTGACAAAACAGGTTGTAACAAATGTGGGGAAAGGGCATTGAGCCTATGCATGCAAACTACAAATGCAAAGGCAAGGAAGCATGAGCAGTTGTTCTGTGATATCCCTCCCAGCTATAATATTCTATTAATAGATTCCCTCTTATAGACTGGAAAAACAGAATCAACTAGGTATCTCATCACCAAAAAAGAGTTTATTCAGGAAAAAGAAAGGATTGCAATCCAGTGTGTGCAGAATTGCCAAACCATATGTGCACACTGAACCAAACAAAGATGGAGGAGAGACTTAATAAAGACGCGGTGGAAGTGAAAGGGAGGGGCTGTTGCAACCATAGAACTGTTATAAACATAAGGTTGTTCCTCATAGGGATATTCAGTGACAAACAGTGCAGAGCTCCTCCCCTAATCCCTAGCTCCTCCCACAGGCCCTCCCCCTTATGTCTAGGTTAAAGTCTATCACAATTTTATCAATCTCTTCAATCTAGAAAGGATATCAAAACTCATTTAGGAAGCAGGGTGGGGAAAACAGACAAAGAGTTGTTACAGGTTGTTAAGCTCAAAAGGTCAACAGAAAGTTAACTAGAAATATACCTTGCTTTACAGTTGTTCTAGATCGAACAATAGACAACTGTTTTGTGATGATTCAGGCAATGCTTACGATTCTCCCCTCCTTCAACACATGAGGGGAGAATACAGGAGCTATCTAGGCTCCCATCGAGCTTCATGTGGAGTCTATCAGGCAGGAGCTGTATTATAAGCTGCTGTAATCTCCCAGAGGTCTGCTCAGAGTCCTGCTTCCCTTAGTGTCCCTTGCTATTCATGGCCAGGCAGAGAAAGCCCCAGAAGAAAGGCTGCTAAGACATCTTCAAAGCCCACACCTCCCAGTCATCCAGTGACTCCAGAGCCAAGCAGAGGCAGCCTTCGAGTCGGGGAGGTTCAGGCTGGTGTCCAGTTCAGCCTACCTCCTACCTGCTCCCAAGGCCTACAAAACTATTGTCATCAAGATCACACCCCTTTGCTCCTCATTCAAAACAGTGAGACTCCTGAGGTAACTCTCCCTTTTTATCCAGTCTTAGCAAAACCGAAAGGAAATTTCTTGGCTTCCCCTCCTGGAAGAGCTAGGCTTTGCGGTTCTAAGGCCAAGCTCTCTTGCCCCAGATAGGGTGTGTAAACAGCTCTTTGTATTTCAGAGTCAAAATTTCTGCCCTGAAGGATTCCATTCTTAAAATTAATGAAAGGTGGTAGTTCCAGAGGGAAACTAGATACTGATGCTTGGAGTTGAAGGCAGGGAACACCCACCCTTCCACCACCCCACACTCCTGCCAGCAGGTGGGCTTTTTGCAACTGGGAAGGGAGTTCTGCAGGCAGCAACTGTGGGTGGATTCCTACAGCTGTCTCACCATGGGATTTGGAGCTGGCAGAACTAGGTGGGCTGCACAGAAGGACTTGGTGCCTTGGCAGCAGCTGAGCAGATCCCCAAGTGGGGCACCTAGGATAGCTCAGGCAGAGAAGGAGAACTGCACAGTGGAGAACCTGTGCTCAAGTAGGGGACGTGGCCAGTCTGGATGGAACACCAGGGCCTCCCAATCAGGGCAGAGGGAGCCCTGAAAATTGACTGATGGTGGACTTTTCAGCCAGCTGGATGAGTACAGGCTGGAACCAGATACATTTCTATTTCAATAAATAAATAAATGTGATCTATGCTAGACCAGGAATGGTATGGAGTAATTCATCCCATTACATCTAATCAAAACTTCACCACAGTCAAGGCCACACTCTGGGTCTGGCTGCCATTCAAGGTTCAGTCTCCTTTCCTAATACCTCTCCACTGGAATGAGGCTGGATAGTCCCACTGGGCATCTAGGTTCGAGTTCCAGCTCAACCACAACTCAAAAATCACTTGCTGCATCTGAGTCTGTTAAGAGCCATTTTCTGCGACTCCCTCCCAGTCTCCCACCTAGGCACACCCTCCTGCCTCCTATTGTCTCTGTCCCCTGGACCTTCTTACCTGTCAGACAGGAACCCTATCAAAACACATGCCCTCAGAAACACTCATAGCAAGTCTTTTCTCCCTCAGCACACACAACAACTACGGCAATTCAGCATTTTGATTTCTAACTAGGTCTAGTGCCTCATATAACTGGAAAAAAAAGCCTCCTCTTCTGGGACACTCCTCTGCCTCATACTCACACTGAGCTGATCTAGAAGGAGAAAACCTTGCTGACAGATCACCCAGGAAGGTCTGGAACTAAACCTGCTCATAGAAGGGACTTGTCAGGAGTTGGCCATGACAATCTGAGCGTGGGAGCCGGGGAGACTTCCATTCTGGCCCGAAAAACTCTCTGCCCCCTCTTAGGCTCCTCACAGAGTTGAAACTCTAAAGCTCTCCGGATTCCCTCGGCAATCACTCGGTGATTTCAAAGTCCTAACCCTAGCATCCTATTGGTTCTCACGCCTGTGTTTTAGCGTTCTTAATAGCCAGTAATTTTTAGATTCTCTGGCATGGAGCGGAGCTCCTCTTTTTTTCCTTCCTCTCTTCCCTTCCCTCCTTCCCTCCCTTTCTCCTTCCCTTCCCTTCCTTCTCCTCACCCAAGGATATATTTTCATCGATTTTTAGAGAAAGGGCGAGAGGGAGGAAGAGAAGGGGGAGGGGAAAGAGGAAGAGAGACACCGACTGACTGCCTCCTGTACGCGCTCCGAGGGAGTTCGAACCTACAGCTTTAGGTGTGTGCCCTGCCCGGAATTGAACTTGTATCCTCTTGGTCCACTGGACTACGCTCCAACCAACTGACCCACCCGACCAGGGTCAAAGCTCCTCCTTTGACCCAGTGCAGATGGCCTTCTAAGACCTAACCTATCTTTCGTTTCCCTTCCTCCCCTTGGCCCCACCTGGCTCAGAAAGAGCACTGAATGCATTTGGGCAAAAATAGGTTCCGAAAGTTACAAACCTGCGCTGCCCACACACCTGCCCTGCGCATCACACGCCCCTCCGCGCGCGTCGGGGCAGCTGAAAGTGCTGCTGGGGGTAGTCCCAGCCTGCGCCCCTGGACCCCGACCCGGACAGTCACCTGGAGTCGGAAGCGCTGCGCCGCCTTGTCCATGCTTTCTAGGGCTGCTTGCTGTTTCTGTCGCGCTCGGGCCGCCGCACCACGCGCCATCCGGCCACCGGACCAGCGCAGGGCCACCGCTGCCGCTACTAAGCAGCAGGCCACAGCAGCCCCGGAGGCACTGGAGAGCGCAGCCCACAGTTCGTTCAGCACCATGATCTCCCTCAGTAGAAAGCTGCTGAGAGCGACAGAAGACCCAGCACTCTTGGATTCCACCGCAAAACCCGGCCTGGATCCGCCTGCGCGGGGGGAGGAGTCGGAGGAGAGCTGCACTACCACTGCGCGCCCGCCCCCGCCCCCGGGAGCGCGCCATTGCCAGGCAGCCGGCCGGAGGCCGGCTTCGCGCAAGGGTTAAGGGTCAAGGTTTTGGTCCCCCTGCCCAGCTGCACCTCAGCGGTTGCTCTCCGCGTCCTCTTGCACAGGGTCAGGCTGAACTGGAGGACCAAGAGATGAAGCACAGGCATTAGTTAGCAGCGGTTCAGCGCCGCGATTCAGCGCCGCGCCTCGGCCTCAACCCAGGGCACCCCAGAGCTCCTACTCCCAGAAGACGCAGACAGCTGACACCCCTGCAGAAAAAGCCAGGAAAAAAGGACTGGGAGAGAGATCAATGGCCGCAAACTGTTTAGCAACTGTTATGGAGAACCTTGCGTCAGAGCTGGCACCACAGGGCGCCCACCTTTTCCCAGCGTGTGGCTTCCAGGGAGCCTGCCCTAGGACCAGCTGAGGAAGTTCCTCTGGGGATCCCACCTGCTGTCCCCTCCTTGTTATCCAATACCGGGATCCCGTGCCTCTGGCCCTGGGCTCCTCTTCATGGACAACCCATCCATCACTTGTCTGTCCTGCTTAGCCACGTGGCAGACTGACCTCCCAGGTCTTTTTCCAGTCCTGGGCCCTCCTGGAGTTCACACGCAGCAAGCAGAAAGAATGCCTGACCAGGACCAGGTGTCTGGGGACCTGTTGCCCTTTATTAGGAGGGTGGAAGATTACACACACACACACACACACACACACACACACTTCTCCCATCCAGGCCTCTTTCACAAGACTTTATGTGCTTTATCTCATTTGTTCTCCCAACAGACCTGTAAAAGGAAGGCATTTTTATTATCAGTTTACAGATAGGGTACCTGAGGACAAAAGAGGTTAAATGACTTCTGTGAGCCACACAGGTGGCTGAGTGGGGTTGGGGCCGGGCAGGGGGTGGGAGGCATTCAATTCAGGCCTGGTCCTAAACCATTGCTCTTACCCATGAAGCAGTACCACCATTACTGCCCCTGGAAGTGAGGCCCTGTAGAAAGGGGTATAGGAAAGTGCGTTCTGACTGGTAACACTATTTGCTGAAACACTGCAGTTGTTCCAGTTCTCTCTTTGCCTCCCTGAATCTGTGCCTCTACCTTTTAAAAAAAGAATGGTTATAATGCCTACCTTGCAGGATTGTTAGAGGAGTTTGTAAGGTCCTTCACAAGTGATGCCTGGCCCTCCATAAATGTTTAGTGACAGAATGAAAGGCCCACTGTGGAAAGCCTTGAATGTTATTTGAAGAATCTAGGCCTGAAGGCCTTAAGAGTCACTGTAAGAGTCACTTGAGCAAATTCCAGAGGGGTCCAACGCCTTGTGTTTCTAAGTCTGCAATCCCTGTTGAAAGCTGCTGAGTTCCAACTCAACACTGATGGCCCTTTGTAAGTGTCAAATCCCTGAACCTCAGTCTCTCTAGAAGAGAGCTGGCAGATGCAGGGTGGTAGAAACTCTAACTCTATTCTCTGTCAAAGTCATTTCACCCGATCTCCTCATGGAATAAAGGTATTCTGGCCCTGGATTCACCCATCCCTTGAGGGTGACCTCGGGTGATTCACTCTTCCCTTTTGTAAACAAGAAGCATTCCTTCTGACCTCCTCTCCCTCTCAAGAAGGAGAAAATAAGATTATAGTTATGGGGAAGCTCTGATCGTTCCTGAGGCTTAATCACCAGGTTGGTAACCTGTCAGGAGTTGGGCCAAAATTTGTTAATTTAGGAACTCCGTTAACAAAATATTCACTTCTGTTTGTCTCCTGTGACGATTGTTTCTCTAAGTAGTACTTCCTGGGGGTATATTACACAAGATTTAATTTACAAAAAAGATATGGAGGATCTGGATGGAGTACTGAGGCCAAGACGGCAAACTCTGGGCTTGTGAGGGAGTGAAATGCTCACTCTCTCTGATTCTATCTTAATTCTGGCCTGCATTTCTCCCATAACCTTCAGTGAATAGCTCTTGCCATAGATATACCAATTATTAGAAAACTTCTGCTTGAAGCTTGAGCTTCTGGCAAAGATTTTCAGAAGCCTCAAGACAGAACTCCGATCAGCAGGGGTCAGGACCAGGAAACAAAGAAATTTATAGATTTCTTACTCTTATTTGGATCCCTGTTGGCACCTAAGTGTCATACCTCTTGCTCTACTTACTCTCTCTTCCCTTGACATAAAAAAAGCCTGAATTCTGAGCTCTCTGAATATGGATCTGTGGAGGCTTTAACAGCCCCCCTCTTGTTAAGCTGGCATGTTCTGTATCAGGAAAGGAATAAACCTTTCCTTACTCCAAACTCTGATGTCTCGAACATGTGGCCTTTTGAAGCATCAGGCACACACACACACCTTGAATCAGTAACAAATTGAGTCTAATGTTCCGGTCACAGTGAGTGGTCACTCCATTCTTCCGAGAGATGGTCCCAAGACAGTTCACCTCTTGCATTCCATAGTTTAATTCAACAGACACCTACTGACTCCTGCTGTGAGCTGGAAAATTGAGGCATGTACTAGATCTCAAATCTAGCTTTGTGGAACTGAAGGTCTAGTTGGGAAGAAAAAAGAGCAAGAAACAAAAGACATGCTTTGGTGGAAATGCAGAGATCATGCTGCATGAACCCAAAGTGGCTTGGAGACTGAGACATTGGGCTGAAACAGCCTTGGGGAAGCCAGATAGCAGAGTTTATTTTTTTAAGATTTTATTTATTTTGAAAGAGAGAGGGGAAACAAGGGAGAAAGAGAAGGAAAGAGATGTTGATGTGTGAGAGAAACATCGATCAGTTGCCTTTCACATGCCCCCAGCTAAGGACCTGGCCCGCAACCCAGGCATGTGCCCTGACCTGGAATTGAACTGGCAACCTTTTGGTCCATAAGTCAATGCTCAGTCCACTGAGCCACACCAGCCAAGACCACGTAGCAAAGTTTACAAATAAACTTGGCTCTGAAGCTGGAGTGTCTGGTAACCCATCTTTGTTATGTGACTGTGCCCTAAATTTCTCAAATGTAAAGTGAGGATAATTATTATATATTAATACTACAGCCCAATTCTCTAAGACTCAAAGGACTTGACAAATGTAACACAGCCAGAACAGGGCCTGCCATACTTACTTACTACCAGGGATTATAAGCAATCCACACATGTTAATCATTATATTATTATCAGAAAAACAGAAATCACCCTGGCTGGTGTAGCTCAGTAGATTGAGCACGGGCCTGTGAAGCAAAGGGTCGCCGGTTCGATTCCCAGTCAGGACACATGCCTGGGTTGCAGGCCAGGTCCCCAGTGGGGGACACATGAGAGGCAACCACACATTGATGTTTCTCTACCTCTCTTTCTCCTTCCTGTCCCCTCTCTCTAAAAATAAATATTTTTTTTTAAAAAAGAAAATCAGAAATCTACAGAGAGAGGTTTTCTGGCCTGAGAAGCTTAGCTCAGGAGCCAAACTACCTGAGTTCAAATACTAACTTTGCCATTTAACTACTGTATAACCTTGAGTAAGTCACTTTAAACAGCTTTGCCTCAATTTCCTCATCTGCAAAATGGGGGCTAAAAACAGTGACTAACTCAGAGAATTATAAAGATTTTAAAAAGCTTGGAATAGCACCTGGCCCATGATAAGGTTCCATAAACATTAGCTCAGTCTTTTAATTAGAGATGTGCTGCAATTGTACCAGTGTTTGGGGGAAGGCAATGGGGAGGAGGATTGGGGGAGGCGAGCTGGAGGCAGAGGCTTTGGAAAAGCAGGATAATACAAGGATCCAGTGGGAGTGGTTTTCCAGGGCTCCTGGTTATCAGGAAAGCATCTGTAAGCCAATACCACAGGCTACCATGAGCCCAAACAGCATGTATGTGCACTCAGTGGTGCGTGTAAGGTCTGGCCTTACACACAGGCCTGGTGGATTTCTTGAGCAGGATGGGGTTCTCCCCCATTAGCTGGTGACTCTGAGCAAGTCATCCTAATGTGCTCTCAAATGGAAAGACAGGTACTCCCTTGCCAAGTTCCCTTGAAAGCGGGGCCAGGGCCGTAAGGAGTGGGAGGAAAACTTGCAGAAGGGAGCTTCTCAGATTCCACAGGGTTTGAAGTCTGTCTTTGTTCTGGGGATAAGAGAACAGTATGTGTGCCTCTGTTCTCATTAACTGCTCTGCTTCTCTTTTTCCTTTCACTTCTGTGAGCCTCTCCTTAGTACTGAATGGGTGGTCAGGAGGGAGACACAGCTCTACTCCAAGGAACTCAGAACCACTCTACGTGGGGCGCTTTGTAATTTCCAAAGCACTGTCACGTCTTTGACCTGTTGTCTGAGCCCCACGGCCACCTCAGAGGCCACCTACTACCTCTGAGTTAGGGGAGAGTTTGTGTCCTGTGGTAAAGTAATTCTATAAATGATCCCACTAAGCTGCCTCTTCCTGTATCTGTGCTCTTTGCGAAATAATTTTAGCCCTTGCCAGCGTGGCTCAGTTGATTGGAGCATCATCCCATACAGCAGAGTTGCAGGTATAGGAGGAAACCAATTGGTGTTTCTCTCTCTCCCTTCCTCTCTCTCTGAATCAATAAACACAGTTTTAAAAACAATAACTTATAGCTTCTCACTTCAGAAGGTATAGTCTATTTTCCCACCCCCGTAATTGTGGGCTAAACTCTGCGACTTGCTTTAACTAGTAGAACGCAGTACAAGGAATGTTGTGCTAGTTCTGAGCCTAGGCTGCAAGAGAATTGTTTTCTTTCTCTTCTGGAAAACTACCTCTGGAACCCTGCCTCAGCCATGAGAACAAAGTCCAAGCTATGCTGCCTGAGGATGGGGCCACGCAGAGTGGAGCCTACCCAGGCCAGCTGTCCCTGCTCAGACTCTTCCTTACATGGGGGAGAGGGCCCAGCCAAGCTGAGCAGAGCCACCTGACTACTAGCCAAATTTAGCTGAGCTCAGTACAACCACCAGTAAAACGGACAGACTCAGAGAATAAACAAAGAGTTCCAAGGTGACAGTGAAAGCTGCAAGTCCTCTTAAGACTTAAGCTTAGAATTTGCAAAACACTGGTTCCACTAAATTTAACTGGGAAGAGAGAGGACCAGAGTCCTTTGGGGGAAATCTACCCATGGCAGGCAGATTTAGACACAAAGAAATTCAGTCCCTCTCAAATCAAAATTTGAATGCCCCTTAGAGAGATACTGATTTACTTTACAAAAGCCATCTTCATTTTGCAGAATGATTCCCCAGATGAGTTCCTTAATTAAAAGAGATATGCCCTGGCTGGGTGGCTCAGTTAGCTGGAGCACTGTCTCGTACACCAAAAGGTTGCAGGTTCGATCCCCAGGTCAGGGCACATAACTAAATTGTGGCTTCAATCCCTGGGTGGGGTGTGTACAGGAGGCAACCAATCAATGTTTCTCTCTCTCTCTCTTCCTCTTCCTCTCTAAAAAATAAACATATCCTCAGGTGAGGATTAAAAATATTCTTAAATACATAAATACATATATGGTAGGATTTGATTTATATACAACTTACCAAGAATATATTCTGTGAAATATAATTGTATAATAATATCCCACCAGTGCTCCTCAGGAAGGAAAGCATGTGCTTTTCTGCACATCGGTTTTCAAAAATTGGTTTGCCACCTGCGAGATGTCATCTCCTCCACCTTTTTGGAGAGAAGAGCTTATGGCACACGAGCTGACGCCACACCCACACTAATGTCACCAGATCCGGGTGAAAAATAAATGCCTCTCAAAATAAAATGGATCAAATTAAAAATGTTCCCCTAATAAAATTGCTATTGCTATGGCTCATTTTTAGTCACATCATTTTATCTTACTATTTTGTTTTACATAGCTCATGCTATGTCAGGTGTTGTTCTAAATACTTTACTGACATTAATTCATTTAATTCTCCTTTAATAACCAATGAGGTGATACAAAATTCCCATTTTACAGATGAGGAAATTCAGGTGTAGACTGGTAAAGAAACTTATCCCACAGTTTCAAATAAATAGAGAAAACCTAGCATTTTGTGTACAATGTATCCAAAAAGTGAAATGTATCCACTCTGTTTCTTAATGAGGGAAATGGCAAGGTCTCATTGCACTGGGACAGGTTGCAAAGGGTTGTGGTCAGCTACCACACAACAGGTAAGGGGTGGCTTGAGAATATGGGAGAAAATGAAAGGATTTAGAGAAATCAGTTTTGAGGCTATATGTCATTGTTCAGTGAAAAGTGAGGTCTGTCCTAAGATATGAGATATTTCAAGAAAGAAATTTCAGATTGTGATTTTTTTGAAAGTTACTTAAGTGCCAATCCTATCCTTATCTATAAAATGGAACTAAAAAGAGTACCCATCTCTCAAGGGGGATTTTCATGAGGATAAGAAACAATGCAATGCCTGTAAAATAATGCTTAGCATGAGCCTGGCTCAGGTAAGTCTTCAATATGCAACAGGAATTACTGTCACTGCTATTATTAATTAGGCAAAGAGCGTAACTGCAGTTTCTGGCTTCAGCAGCAGGGTGATGGTGGTACTGTATTTGGAAATGAGGAATGCAGAAGGGATAAAGTTTGGCAGGGGGAGAGAATGAGTGACTTAAGTTGGCTATTGGGGCTCTGCTTGCTCCCCTTGCCTTCCACGGAACACCCTGAAATTCTGAGGCCTTCTAATCCAAAAGTTTTTAACTCGAGGTTTTACATACAGGTGGACCTTAGGGAGTGCCTACTCCCCTGAAATTATGCATAAAATGTGGTGTTTTGTGTGTGAACTATCCTGAAAAGGACCCAAGCTTTTATGAGTCTGTCATACTTGTGACTCGCCAGAAATGAAAACCACAGATCCAAGCTATCTCTCTGTGAACTATGGCTGGTCTTCTGTGAAGGATGGGCCACTGTATGTCACAACAAAAGAAGAACTCTCAAGCAAGACTGAGGCAACTCTAAGTTTCCCAGTCTCTAGATAGGGCCCCTTCCACATTTGGCACTATTATCCTCTGCCGAGTTGGATCTCTTCAACCTCCTTTTTTTGGACATCAGGTGCACAAAACTGGATTAAGCATAACCTTTGTTCATGACATTCTTTTATCAACTTCATCATGCACAATACACTTTTATTCGTAGGTTCTTACTATTTTTGGGTGTTTTGATAATGTAATAAGCACCAAGTATGAAAGCAGAACCTTGACAATAACCTAATCTAACTATATGTTCCTTCCAGACCATCCTATCCCCCTACCTGAGGAACTGTTACCCTGAATCCCACATGAGATCAATTTTTTTCTTTTTTACATGGTTTTACTGCATATGTTCTTTTTTTTTAAATTTTATTTAGTTATTTTTCAAGTACAGTTTTTTGTGCATATATGTTCTTTAAAAATGTTTTTCAACTTTGGTTGTATTTAACTTGATAACATCACTAGTTATCAGAGAAATGGAAATTAAAGCCACAATGAGACACTAAGAAAAACCTTGTAGAATAAAGTTGAAAACTTATAATGCCAAGTTTTAGGCAAGGATATGAAGTAAAATACTCAATTTTTAAATTGAATCACTAATCTGTGATTCGTGGCTTTGGGAGAGCTCAAATCAGAAGTTCCCAGATGGGCTTTATGCTACTCTGGCCATGTGATCAAGCTAGACACATGTAACTAGTTAGGCCAGTCCAGACATCCAGATAAAGAGAGCTTTACAATCCACCTGTAAATAAACTTTTTTTTTCATGTCAGACAGGTAATGTCCTGATGTTGTAACATGGTTTGTGGGAGGCACATGTCACACAAATGCGTGAACACCCAATTTTCATGCTTATGAACTAGAAAAGGATCTATTTAAAAAGAAATTTTTTCAACTCTCATCTCCTACAGTATAAAATTCTACACAGGTGTAACTGTGCAGGAACCTTATTTTCTTTAATCTGCCCTTTTTATTTTTATTTTTTTCCTTGGACTCAAACTGGCCTCACCTAGTACCCTGATTCACCCACCTCCCTTCTCCCTTAATCATTAAGCCCTCAGGACAATGAAACTAGAGAGAACACCTGGTTTCACCAAAACTAGGTTGTGTTTCAGCTCTAGAACAACCCCCGTGCTGGCCACATCCTTGAGAAACCAGATGAAGCAATGCCTTGCCATGGATGATGTCAGAACCGGATGCAATAATCAACTACTCCCTACTTTAGCATTGACCAATCAGTAGACCACGACCCTGACCGTGTGCCTAACTCCCTTAGTCACCATGATTAATGATTTTCTCCCTGTATAACCCATCCCTTAGAAGCTTTCAGGGAGCCAGGTCTTTGAGCATGAGCTACCTCTGACTCCAGGCATGGTGTCATCTCCTTCATATGGCCTTACTTGCTTGGCTACAAACTCCTGTTTGTGTCTTATTGGTCTTTGATGTGCGCAGGAAAATTGGACCCCTTCAGTCCAGTAACAAAGGTGAAACTATAGTGATAGAAAGCAGATCAGTGATTACCTGGGTCCAGGGATGGTGGAGGGGATTCAATGTAAAGGAGCACAAGGTAAGTTTTTAGATGAAATTATGTTCTATATTTTGATGGTGATGGTGGTTACATTGTTATACACAATTACCAAAAGTCATTATGCAGCACATTTAAAATTAATTGATTATATTTTATGTAAATAGTTTAAGGGCATAATATTATATTTAATCTTTTGCAACTAAAATTTTAAAAATTTTATTGCTAAGATTCATCCATATTGTTATGTGTCACTGTAGTTCACTTTCTTTTGACAGCTGTATAATATTCCATTGTGTGAACTCCAGTTTATTTGTCCACTCTTGCTCATGGGCATTTGGGTTTGCTTCTGAGACCAGGATTGCTATCAACATTCTTACACATATCTCCTGCTGTGCATATATGAATTTCTCTTGGATTTATCCCAAGTATTGGAATAACTGGGTTGTAGAGTAGGCAAATATTCAACTTATAGGAGATAAACTTTTTTCAAAGTATTTCTTTGCTTTTCTTACCTGGGTCTGTCTGTCCCCAGTGAGACTGGGATCTTGGATTATCACTGCTTAGTACACAATTAGTACCAGCCTGCATACCCATGAGGCCAAAGGCAGAAGCCCAAGCACTTGAGTAAACAGCAGGAAGAAAGCACATACTATATAAGAAGCTAATTGTGTTCCTACTCCCTGGAGCTCTATCTTACTAGCTTCACTAGGATTTTGAATCTGGCAGGTGTTCCAGGGACCTGTTATAATGTAAATCCCACAAAGGAGAAGGCTTAACCTCATCTAAAATCCTTCTCAGCTGACACCTCTAATATCCAAATAAAGATTAGCAGGAAGGGCATAAAGAACAAAAGGAGAGACAGAAGAGGAAGAGAAGGGATAAGGCAAGTAGGAAGAGCCAAGAATACCAGTATTCTTAAATTATGCACCCTTTTCTGCACAAGGACTGGTCTTTCAGAAAAAAATTAATAAAAAAGCAATATCTGTAAGTGACCACAAGCAATTTTAATGTCCCTTCTATAGTTACAAAAACAACATAATTAGCATACAAATAGTAGATGATGTAATGTTGCTCCCAAACCCACACTATGTGAGGCCTTAGGATGCTGGAGGAAGAGGTTTGAGTGATTTAGCATGTGCCAAACAACTGCCACAGGAGCTCAGCCACAGAACAGCAAAAAGGAAACAAAACAAAACAAAAACAGAATATATCAAGACATTAGGAGATTCCTAGGTGCTCAGAAAGCAAAGAAAAAGAGCCGCCATTCCCAAGGATGAGGCCTCATTCTCCTCCACAATCCCAAATGCTATGTCTCCTGCAGCTCCCTGACTACCCATCATAAGGAGCTAGAGGAATAAACAATAAAGAAACACACAAAAGCCCTGTGGCAGAGCAGCTTCCCCAGCTACAACAGGCAGTGGTACTGTTGACGGCAGGAGGAACAGCTGGAATTATTTGGCTCAGGAGAACTTTCTCAATGTAAGTAAGCAAATTATTAAGCATTGGCTTAACATTTTTAGTTAGTTGTTCCTTAAATTAGGTCATAAACCACATGGAGTAACTAGGTAGTCTTGTTTGGTCAAGACTGATCATGCAAAACTCACCTTAAGTATAAGAGGGGCTCTGTAAACCACACTGAGGTCCTGGGCATTGGGCACCTGAGAGTTAGTGCTCAGTAGCAGCAGCTGGTATAAACAGAACAGTACTTGGGCTAATATGAGGCCCCCAACCACAGCCTTAGCTCTATGGAGCTTTGACAATTTTATTGGCTATGCTTCTTCCCAAGTTTACAGTTTAAAGTGTGGGCCTGCTAATTGTCTCCTTCTTCTAAGCCCCCAGTGGGGCAGGAAACTTTAGTACAGGCTTAGAGATGGGAAGTGGGGAGTGGGGTATAATAACAGTTAGAAACTTGCTGATGCTCCACACTTGGATAGCAGGACAGAAAAACTCCTACTTCCTAGCACTAAAAACTACCTATAGAAAGACTTGAAGCATGGAGATAGAACCCAGAGATTATCTTTGCCACTGGTCTCAGTTTCGGGTGCTGCCATGGGAGTACACCGTTTGTCTTCCTACATCAGGGTTTCAGGAACATGGTGATGCTATTTCAGTCTACACATTTTGCAAAAGTACATAGGCCCAAAATTGGCCATGAGGTTTGGGATTACCAGCTCCCCAACCTGGCAGGATGGGAAAAAAGAGAATGTGTCCATGAAAAGCTTTCGGAAGTGAGTCAGGTCTTCCACCCGAACTTCAATGCTGTATTGATTGGCGAGCAGTTCAATGGTGCCTTGTACCACATACTCATTCTGTAAGTGTGAGAGTGAGCAGGTAGAATAAACAACGTAGCCTCCAGGTTTGGTGGCAAGGAGTCCAGCCCTGAAACCAGAAAGGGACAGAAACAGTGACTAGTGGGTTTCCCAGAAGTAAGAAGGTAACAAAGGAACTGGAAACATAACATGAAGGTTTCTATTGTGGGATGGGTAGCTGTATTGACAGCCTTTGAAGTCCCTTTCACAATAAAAAGTCATTCTCAAGGCAAAGAGCAACCCAAGCTTACTCCATGGGCTCTCCTTAGAAGCCTCCTCAAAATGATCCCCTGAGCTCTGGCAATAGTTTTGAACCAAACCCTGATGCTAGCTATGGATTGACTCCTTACCCCAACCCTATAGAACCTTGACCTCAGCAACTATTTTCAAACTTGTGCTACTTACTGGGACTGGGATGAGCATGGAGGTAAGTGAACATAAGTGAATTTGTGCAGCCCACCCTTCTATGCATGTCTTACCACATAGGGTTTTTATGTTCCAGAGAAGGAGCATCCCATGATGTCTGTCTCATCCAGGCAGATCCTCAGCCAGAAGACCCTAGTATGGATGATGGTCTTGGCAAGGGCTTCCAGTCCCCCAGGTGACCAGACCCCTAGAGGACTCTGGCATAAAGTTCTGAGTTTTTATAAATCTATCACTCACGCAAGAAGCTGCACCTGCAGCATAGGTAACATCTGCCGCTCCTTCTTCCTTGATCGCTGAAAAATGTTGTTCTCCTCCTCATGAAGGGCATGGCGGTCTGTGGTACAGGGCACATCCACCAGCACCTGCCCAGAAGTGTCAAAGAGTAAAGTATCACAGCTCCTTCCAGGCTCCTCTTCCTTAGACCAGGGCTGTTTTAGGCCCCTGACCCGGGGGTTTTACAGAGAGGTCCCTCTGCCCATCCTTCCATTACAGAGTACCTGACAAAGCTTCTCACCTGAACCTGGTAGACAGCTGTGAAATAATGAGTGGGTAAATAGTATGTTTAGGAATATTCATGGCTGGTCAAAAACTAAAACTAACACACAACAAACTATAATTAAATAATTGATATTAACCTAGGAAGAAGTCTTCAGTGCTTCAAAGCTCTGTCCTTGGTTTGGTCCTTAGCTATTTGAATAAAAACATCTAATTTACAGATCATACAATGCCCAGAAGGTAGGTAAATGAAAAATAGGATTAGGATTTAAAATATCTCATGCTGAACAACAATTAAAATAAATAAATTAAAATATATATTTTATGCTAAGACAATGTTATATCCAATATGGAAAAGTTTTAAAGTAAGAAGTGTAAAATTGGAGCTTGATCGGTAGCGGGAGCGGAGAGTGGACCCCGGATTGCCCTGAGCAGCCCCACCAGTGCTGCTATAGTTACCATCACACCCTGGGAGGACACCGAGCTGCAACCAGGAGCAGTGAGGCCGAGACCCAGCAGCTGCCTGCCGCCCTCACCCTCAGCGCTGCCCCACACTCAGCGCTGCCGCTGGCTCCGTGGGCAGCAGTGCAGGGAGCGGCGCCCCGGGCAAGCCTCACATCGGTGTTGTCTGCCTGTGGGACAAGAAGGTCACCACAACAAAGGTTTTGGGGACAGTGAAATGGTTCTGATGTAAGAAACAGATATGGTTTCATCAACAGGAATGACACCAAGAAAGATTTTTTGGACACCAGACTGCCATAAAGAAGAATAACCCCAGGAAGTATACCTTTGCATTGTAGGAGATGGAGAGACTGTGGAGTCTGATGTTGAGGGAGAAAAAGGTGCAGAGGCAGCAAACGTTACAGGCCCTGGTGGAGTTCCAGTGCAAGGCAGTAAATACACAGCAGACCCTAACCATTACAGACGCTATCCACGTCGCAGGGGTCCTCCATGCAATTACCAGCAGAATTACCAGGATAGTGAGAGTGGGGAAAAGAAAGTGGGATCGGAGAGTGCTCCTGAAGGTCAGGCCCAACAGCGCCGGCCCTACCGCAGGCGATGGTTCCCACCTTACTATAGGCGGAGACCCTATGGTGCAGGGAAAAGTGAAGG